ATATTGTAAATTATAGGAAATATGCCATCAAAAGTGGCTGCAATTCAGTGTCTATGATATCTTCGGAAAACATTGTTTACATAGGTTAATTTATGTCGAATGTCCCCTATCTAAAGATCAAACCCATTTTTGATTACATCGAAGTTTTCACGACAATTCTTTGCTGGAGGAATTTAAGGCTCTTTTCAGTTGTTAAAGATTTAAGTGCATAACCCACAGAAATGCAAAGGTCTCGCCCATCTTTTGGTATTCTGAAATTTCTTCCTCAGTTTCTTACTGAAGTGTTTGTTACTAGCATTCCGAGCTCTTAAAGGTTGGGAAACATTTTTGCAAAACTATTTCAATATAGGTTTTTACGTCCCATTTCCTATATTGTGAATTTTAGTTGAATATGCCCACAAAGCGGCTGAAATATGACATTCCAGATTCTTGTATGGGGAAAATGATATCTGCAGATAATTTTCGACATAGTACCACTATACAAAGCCACTAATTGTTCCGCACAATTTTCGGTATTTTGAAGGAATCTGGAAAGATAGGAAAAACATTTTGCGGACCAATTTAGAGTTTTAGGTACATTTCTCACCGAAGTGACGGTAATTTTGCACTCCAGGTTGTCAGTGATTTCACAATATAACAACACAGACCCCAAATGAAGATTCCGACTGATTTTATGACTTTGATTGCACATTGGTTATGGTTTTTACTTTTTGCAGAATGTTTCTTTCTCTTTTTTTCATTTATTGCGAAAGAAAAAAGGACTACTTATTTACTTTTTCATGTGTATGAATCAATGAATTTGTTGCGTAAAGGTAAAAATCATACGAAAACAAATTGTATTGAGGGTAGATAATATTTGGCATTATAATCAAATGAAATGCATGTGTGCTTGTGTGGGTGGTTTGGTATCCTATTTTTTTCTTTTCTTCATTTGATTGCTGCGAATACAAATGTAAATAACAGTCAATAAACGTATACGAAAACCAGTGAGCGGAAATTTTTTTCAAATTTTTTTCGGATGTTTATTCCGAGCCCGGGCAATATTTCGTGATATTTGCACCCTCTTGCCCGATTAGAGGTAAACAGCACCTCTTCCTCACACTTTTCCGAATATTACGAGTATTCAGTACAGCTATTGTCCAGATTCCCTTCACCGTGGGTTGTGTTGTGATGTTCGGCTTTCATTTGTGGTCTATAGATCGACTCGAAAATAACACAAAAAATTAAGTTTTCGTTCCACTTCATTCCAAAATTATTATCTGGTCATCACCGAAAATTATAGGCGTTGTCCTTGACCATAACTGGAACCTCATGGAACATTTCAAAGCGATCAGCGCTATAGTTCAGCTCTCCAGAGTGATAATGGGTTACTAAATAATATACAAATACGGAGATACCTGTAAACATTTAGGTGTAACTCTCTCATCCGAGCACATACAACAATATAATTGGTCTTAATTTAAAGGTCAACCACTCCTCTTGGATATAATATCAACTTCTCGGGTATATGTCCTTCAGGGGTAAATATATATGCCATAGTATAATAATTTTGTCATTTTTCACACAAAAGTCAGGGTCCATTTGACCCGCTAAATATTGACCGATCTTTATCAAAACATGCATGCTTATTCTTTGGCCTGATCCCCTTCTTCATGCAAAATTTCAAGATGTTCGAGCCATTATTGCGGCCTCTGGAGCGACCAGAAAAACCGACAAAAATTTAGTATTTGGTCCATTTCATCCCCTAAATATTAACCGACCTTTCCCAAAAACAATAGGGGTCTTCATTGGCCAGAACCCATCCTACATGCAAAATTTGGTGAAGATTGGTCCATAACTGTGGCCTGTATCGTGTTTACAAATTATAATGGACAGACGGACGGACGGACGGACACACATGTCTAGATCGACTCAGCTAGTCGAGATATGACGATCGGTATACTTAAAGGTGGGTCTAGGACCAATATTTCGCGGCGTTACAAACTTTTGGGGCTACACAAAGCTATAATACCCTGACAACATAGTTGTGTAGGGTATAATGAAAAGAAAACCTGTCATTTTTTTTCCACTGTAAAGACAACAAAGGATATTTATAAACAAGCTGTGGATTTTTTTCGGCTGCAAAATTTATATTCAAGATTTTTTTTAATAAACCATTGGGTAAATAACCTTTATAAAAATAAAATGAAAATATTTAATTTTGAAAACCTACAGGTACCGACTATTAGGTAGTTGTATTTGACTTTTCTTTATCATTCAACTCCCTACTATCTCCGACTATCGGGAGGTCTATATATGAAACATTAAGTAGTGGTGGTTAAAGATGGACGCTATTAAGGGAAACGTACCAAACCAATCGCCAGAAAGATGTATTCTCATGTAGACTTGGAAATAAATCGACTCAAAAGGCGAAGTTATGCAAAATCTTAAAAAGTAACTATGGGACTATCTAGTATCCGTTTGTATGTCACAAACATATGCAGAAGAAAAAATCCTGCAGTTACTAAATATTATATTCAACACATTAAAACGTACATATAAATGTTTAAATTTCGCGTACACATATTGTTGGATTCATAAATATGAAAAAATTAGACCATTTGTGTGGGAGGTACCATGGGTCCCATCTTCGAACTTGATATAGGCTTGATAAAGATAGGTTGTGCAAAATTTGGTTCAAATCGGACATTCCATTCGCCTGATATTGGATTCATAAATATGAAAAATTTAGACCATTTGTGGTGGAGGTACCAGCTGGAGTGGACCAATGGGTCCCATCTTCAATCTTGATTTAGGCTTGGAAATTGTTATAGGTTGTGTAAAGTATGGTTCAAATCGGACATTCCATTAGCCTGATATTGGATATATAAATATTGAAAATTTGGACCTTTTGTGGGGGAGATACCAGAAGAAGTGGAGCAATGGGTCCCATCTTCAAACTTGATCTAGACTTGGTAAAGGTTATAGGTCCAAATCGGACGTTTAGTCCATATCGGACATTCCATTAGTCTGATATTGCATTCATAAATATTGAAAATTTTGACCCTCTGTGGGGGAGGTACCAGAAGGAGTGGACCAATGGTCTAGGCTTGGTAAAGAGAATATTTTGAACAAAGTTTTGTTAAAATCGGATATTCCGTTTGCATGTTGATATAAAATTTATTTTTATCACAATTTTCACCATTTTGTGTGGGAGGTACAAGAAGTAGTGGACCGATAAGTAGTGGACCGATAATGCCCATCTTCCAACTTTAACTAAGTTTGAAAGAAATTTTAAGATGTGCATAGTTTGGATGAAACCGTGTATTCCCTTAGAGAGTTATCGTGCGCACCAGCCAGACAGACAGTCGGACAACGCACGGATGGACGGACATGTGTAAATCGATTTCTAATTTTCTGAAACGGATTTGATCCAAAGAAACAAGGGGCCTAAAACCAATATTTCGATGAGGCACATTTTCACCGTATCAAAGTGTATATACCCTCGTTAGCTGTAAGGCTGAAGTTATAAATATCATAACTACTATACTGCCATAATTTTATTTAAACTATAATCTCATATATGTTCACAAGTTTGCAAAATTTAATGCCATCAAACATTCTTGTTAAGATTTAGTAGCAACATCTGTGAGCATTTTACACAGTTTTCATATCTCTTATAATATAATATATTTTACATTCGCTATGAGTGAACATTTATACATATTATGTTCTATCATATATATGCTTCGTTTAAAATTTCACACACTTCTTCATCCATATTCCCAGATTGCACATTTGCTCTGATATACAACGTAATACACGAATTTCCATATAAACATGTAGAGTGAAAAATCTAATTTATAATTCAACAGACACACACACATTTACATTTAGTAAAATATATGGAATTAATCTATTCCTGCAACCCTTATTGTTGTTGCAATATGTTATAGGACAGCCAAAAATAAATTTTATTGTTCCAAGGATATCGAGAAAACCTGTAAAAACGTTGATAAGTTAATCGGGTCCGATATGGAGTGTATATTAAATTTGTCATTGCGTTTGCAACATCTCGAATTATTCACCGCATACCCTACAAAGTATATATGGGCATTTCCGGAAAAAGGTAAACCAAACCATCATGTTCTTAACGTAAAAACTAATTTAAAGACTATAAATGCAGACACTGCAAAATAAAGGCTTTGCTAAAGTCATATATATTGGAAGTCGTGTGAGTTTCCGCTCTTTTGTGGCTTTTATCTCGAAAGATAAAAATCGGAGGCCCTTAAATTTGTTATGTTTACCACTGCTAGTACTCCTAAAGTTCTACAAAAAAGTATTAAGGAAGAATTGTAAAAATTATGTCTGTTGCAATTGTGATAGAGATCACAATATTTAAGATAGACCTCTGAGATGGAATTTATCGGTCCACATCTTGGTGTAGCCTTTTTAACCGAATTGGCTGTAATTTTGTATTTTTGGTTCTCATTGAATATCGCATATACCTACAAAAAATTACTAGTATTGACCCAAGTAGCCTCATATAATGGTACGCCCAGTATTTGGTATTTTGCACACTTTTTCTAACCGAATTGGCTCTAATTTGGTATTTTGAGTTCTAATTGCCTAGCATATTCCCGTACCAACGGTAACGTCAACCACCAGTATTCCGTATTTTGGGGATTTTGGACAAGTTTTCAACCGTATTGACTGTAATTTAGTATTTTGAGTTCTCAATTTATATTATATGTCCGTACCAAAAATTATTAATATTGACCCAAGTTTCAGGGTCGCCCCGTATAACGTTACGTAGTTTATAGGTTCGGAACAAATTACTTCAATGAGTTATCAACTGAAAACCAAACCATCAACCATACTATGGCTGAAAATATAACAAATCCCTAATGGTTGCATTTTCTAAAACGTTTAATTTCTTAATAATCAAGCGATTAATAAACATTTCTATTATCCTTTGACATTATCTATTCATTATGTATCTTTTTGTGATTTATTTCCAGACGGTTGAAGACCTTGAGAATCGTTGTATGGAAGCAGGAATTGAAATCGTTACAAGACAATCATTTTTATCCGATCCAACTGATGCTGTACGGAATTTACGGCGACAGGATGCTCGTATTATTGTTGGCCTGTTTTATGTGGTGGCAGCCAGGCGGGTGCTCTGTGAAATGTACAAACAGCAGCTGTATGGCAGAGCATATGTGTGGTTTTTTATAGGTAAGTGGAAAAAAGGTTTTATATTATCTACAAAAATTTCGAATATACTTTTCTTGTTGTAAAAAGACTCTCAGCAATGACCTTAAAATTTGTTATTTAAATGTTAATAGCCATATATAAATTTCCATGAAAATTTAATTTTCTGTACGCTATTACACGTTTAGCCCATAATAATGTTTAAATAAATGTTTCTTGTAAAACTTTTCTAAACTATGTACTTAAGCTCCAATGCTTCTCAACTATCTGGATCATGAACTAAAACTCATTTTATTAAAGGCAACTGTGCTCGCTTTACTAACATAGATATCCGACAAGTGTATACTTGAGTGCAATTACCGCAAAAAATACAGGCAATGTGGATATTTTGTTAAACTCACACACACAGAGCCAAGGACTATGTGGATCCCATATACTCTTAACATTATTCTACACACAATCAAATCACCATATATCCCTCGATTTGTAAATGATTGCCGCACTATGGTTTGACTTATACGCTACCGTTCAATTGCTTTTGGTTAACTCCAAAACACATGATGTTTGCAATTACACGCTAGCATATCTCTCATTTGCTGCAAGACAGGCATAACTCTAATAAAGCGATTTTGCAGAAAATGCGTTTAAAGTTTTCAATATACTTTATATGGGACAGAGCAATTTCTACAGCTTCCCAATTAGATTGTATAAGATATATTTATATGCATTTTTTACACAATATGAGGTCTATTATAGCGAACAATCGTGCATCATTAACTCGAAAATCACGTTTTTTGAGTTATGCCTGTCTTGCAACAAATGAGCGATATGTAGTAGTTATCCGAAGCTTTCTAACTGTCTGGTAACCAAGCAATCGAACAGATGGGGTTAAATTCACCGTCAATTGGTATTCCGTCTTCTGTGCGGCTAGATATAATTATATGGGAATTAAATTTCCACAAAAGTTGGAATATGGCTTTTCGAACGGATGAACCATCTGAATGCTTGAATGATTAGGTTAGAAATCATTGCACAACGATGTGGGGAAAAGGATAAATAGAAATAATAAGAGTTGAGTAGTTTTTTCACAGTTGCTTGTGGTTATTGCATTTGTTAAAAAGTGTTGCGTATTTTGCAACCCCAAGGATTAAAAATTGATTACTTCGCATATGTAGCAAATATGCAAGTTAAAATACTAAAAACTTAACAAATGTTACCTCAATGTCGATCGGACAGACGTAACATCTTTGATGGACTCTTCTATACATGAACCGACTTTAATCAATTCACACATCTTTTAGAAATCTATGCAAAACTTCTTCGAAATCGGTCAAACATTGGGTATTGAAATGAAATCAGTCAAAAAGATATATGGAATATATATTTCGACAAGTTCTAATTTTATTCGGTACGCTGCAACATTTCGTCTCGATCAAACATATATTAGACTTTGGTGCAACTTTGCACTAATTAATATATGTGAGAGTTGTATATAAATCTGAAGCGCCAGACGCACATGCATAAATCCATATAGAAAGTGATTTATGATCCTCGGAAGTAACTACGAATCTATCTAGTTTTCTTTTTCCTGATACAAACATATGCACAAAGACATAATACTCTGGGCCACAGTGTTGTGAAGGGATTTTCCCTTCCGATGGTAACGAGATATAAAACTGAAATGATCGAAAATGAGCTATATCGGTCCTCATTACGGCACCACCCTCATAATGATACATCCCAGTTGTTGGAATTTCATACCAAATGGTCCCACTTAGGTATAGCCTCATATAACTTCGCCCTCTAAATTTGTAAGATTTCAGACATGTGTCCCACCCTACCAAGCGTTATCTATATCGGTCCTTGTTGGGAAACTTTCTTTGTAAATAAATGTCAATTCAATAGGGGTTAAATTTTAGGTCTCCTGTAGTTTCATTGGAAAACATTGTTTGCTTATAAAGATCACACCAATTTTGGTGTAATAACATTTCTGGCTATTCCTACCAAAGAACGAAAAGAAATAGAAAATCGTAGACAATAACACTTTGAACCAAAACAGCAATATTTCAGTGACGTGTCCGACTTGTATTACTCACGTGACTAACTTGTTTCACAAGTTCCAAATGCTCGTCAATTTCTGTATGTCGGTTCAACAAGGTGATGTGACTGCAAGATTTATACTACTTATGTAGTTAGCTTTAACATATTAAGGACGTGGTTGAAGTACGCCCCGTTAAATTTTTATATTCAGTCTGGTAATTTTGGGTTTCTAACTCTTCCAAATAATATGAAAAACCAGTAAGGAAAGTAGTAAAGTCGGACTGGGCCGACTTTATGATACCCTTCACCACTTTGGGTATATTCTACATATGTATCCTAACAGACGACGTGTTTTTGTTATATATCTATATCTGAACCGATTTTCACGAAACATGGCAGACATCATTCTAGACCTTATTCATTACGCTGTGCCAAATTTCGTTTAAATCAAAAGATTTACAGGGACTTTAGTGGACTATTTACCTAAAATCGGGCAAAGCTATATATGGGAGCTATATCTAAATCTGAACCGATTTTGACGAAACTTTGCACACATTATTCTAGACCTTATTCATTACGCTGTGCCAAATTTCGTGCAAATCGAAAGATATATAGGGACTTTGGTGCACCATTTACCTTAAATCCGACGAAAATATCTATTGGACGGACGGACATTCATAAATCGACTGAGAAAGTGATTCTATGCATATTCTCAAAAGGAACCATGGGTCTATCTCTATTATTTTTGCCTGTTACAAACATATACACAAAGACATAATACCCTGTAACACAGTGTGGTGAAGGGTATAATAACAGGTAAAAACGTCTTTAAGTTTGGGTGCATTCAAAATTCTTTAAGTCGACATTTATATGGGGACTATTTTATATTGTTATGTGGTAGCAGATTGTTCATGCTGCGAAAAAATAGTGTTCCTAAGTACAGACACTCTAGAAAAAAAAACTTAACCAGAATTTTTTAAATTTATTTATCACCACGAATCCGATATGTCATATTATAGCCACTCCCAAAAGAAAGCTCGTTTAAAAATGTATTAGTATCGAACATTTATATAAGTCAGCCTTCCGGAACACTTTATCCCAAATTAGAGCCCCATCGGATGGTAAATACGGCTAAAGTTATAAAAATACCGAAAATGGGTGGTATCGTTCTATAGAAGCTATACCAAACCGTAAACTGACACTGATAAATATTAGTAGGAAGACTTGACATTCCATAATAATTTGATATATCTAATTACAGCGGATTGAGTAAAAAACATGGTCAAAGCCCTCAGAATACCGAATAATGGTATGATGATGTATTAATGTTCGGAACTTTTCAACCTGAATGTCTGTATTTTCTATTAGTTCGTTGGCATACATATGAAGGGATAAACATTCTGTCGCACTTTCTGATATTATAGAAAATTTGGCTAATTTCCCAATCACAGAGGCCGTAATTTGGTCTCCCGGTATCTTGAAGGGTAAAAAGATTGATTAATTGTGCATGCAACCTGATATATTCCCAGCTCAGAACAAGTGATTCTGGAATGATTTTTAATGTATAATCATTGACATAATTAATATGGGAGTAACCTAAAGCAGAATTAATTGTAGCCTGGAAATTATTTTCTTTTCGTCCGGCCGTACATACGTCTGCACGTTACAAACATATGCACAAATACAACAGTTTGGTGCAGTGTCCCTAATACCTGTTTTATCTAAATTCAAAATTATTTTCTTCCCAATATTTAGGACTACTATATTCTTCCCCATTAATTGGTTATTGTGTAGCGTATAACTTTCCTCGTTGTGTTCAAACTATTCTTTTCAAAAATATATTTTTAAAAATGTATAATGATATTGCAAAAGTTAAAGAATTTCTCAACAAGTTCCGCCGAAAATGTCAACTACATACTAAAAATGTATATTTTGAAGGGACATAACAAAAAAAGAAACGAAAAAAAATCAAAGAGTAGAAGTGCAACTGTTTCATAATTTCTCTTCCTAGCATCTAGTTGGTTTTGTTGTTGTTGAAAACAATTTTGCAACATTTCAGTTTTGCCCCTCATTGCTCACAAATTGTTATTTGTCGGTTAAACTTTAAGAAAAATACTACCGTTGGGCGAAAAATATTGTTCTGTAAATGTTATAACTACATTTTTTGAATAAAATTGTGAATAGTATTTGCAAAATAACCGGAAAGCAGACTTAAAAAGAAAAAGTAAAGGATAGGCATCCTGTAAGATAAGCTTCTATAATTATTTTTGCTTACAGGAAACGGGTCTTTGTCGCACAATGCTAACTATAATAACAAACAATGAAACTGAATTTGGCAATAGATTTAGGACAAAATAAACTTAATATCATAGTTTATCTCTCAGTATATATACTATTAGATTTAAGTACACATGACATTTATTTAATGATCTTAATTTATCCTAGCTTAAAAAGCAAACAACAACAAAAGCCTCAGAATACACATGAGACATTGTACTATATATAATTGTAAAAGGAAACAAAAAACCTAATATAGACGTTGCTTGCACTCGCTTTACGCTTTTAATTGTTTAATTAAGATAAATTCATTCATTCAACTATTCTCTTTTTGATGTTGATTCCACGCTATATAAGCCAAGACTCAAGAGGAATTCTTTACTCGTACTCTACAGTTGTTGGTTTGTTTGTTTAATTAATTAAGTTTTATTGCCGTTTGCTGTAATTGCGGAAATAGGCAATGCCTGTACGAATGAACGAACTGTACTGTATAAAAATAATTAAAGGGAATTACAATTAACAAAGAAGTATTAAAGGGTATTTGAGTTTGAAATAAATACAGATTAAATTATTTTCATCATGAACAAATAGAGGCTTACTGTAAATGAGTGCAATCGTAAAAGAGGAGACGTTCGTAATCCGGAAATCCCAATCACACACATGAAATTGTAAAATAATTTTTTTTTAACAGAACTCTATGCTGATTTCCCGATTTAGATAGCTCCCACATATATCTTTTATCGATTTTAGGTAAATGATGAACCAAAATCCTAATGTTTGTTCGATTAAGTCGAAATTTTGCACATCGTATCAAATTTAGACTAGAATGACCCTTCACCACTCTTTTATACAGGTTATTCGTCGCTGTTTTTATTGGTTCAAATATCTATGTAGATCATAAAATTAATTTCGACCAATTCCATTTCAATGGGTTTCCAAAGATGCTATGTGTCTTCTATGTGCAAGATATTGTACGTATTATCATCCCTTGTGCGTACTCCAATTAGGGAAGGGTATCATATAGTCGGCCCCGTCCAACTTTTGATCTGTTCTTACTTGTTTTAATTTATTTTGCTTTCACCAGGAGTTCGATACATCAATTTTTCGGTTAAAAATTTAGTAATACCGAAAAAAGATACGGAACTTTAGTACAGCCCCATCGGTTTGAAAAAGGAGCCAATATTGATCATTTCTTGTAGGTAGATATTTTTTAATGAGAATGCAAAATATAAAATTACATCTAATTCGGTTGTAGCACGTGTCCAAACAGAACCAAACAGAGGAACCAATTAAAATTCCCGATAATGCCGAATACGTGTTACCGATGTACCCCATTTCAGTACCAGCCATGTTAGCTAAAGACTCCTAAACTACTAAACCGATTTTCACGACATTTTCACAGTCGATTTTTGAGTACATTTGTGGTAACATAGGGTACTTTAATTTTTGATAAAGGCAGGGGAAACAGTAGCCCCAATACAAATTACCCCTTAATTTTGACCATGTTGAAAATAGGCAATGGTAAATTTTAGTACATATACAAACCACAGATACATAAATTATCCAATGGTGAATATACCTGTTCACTAAGTTCCCAAATCGCTTTTCTGTAGGAGTTGGAATTCGCAATTTGTTTTTATGAAAATGATAAAAGGAGAACTATCAGATAGTGTTGTATGGAATAAGAAGAACAAAATGCTAAATCCACGGAAAATCATTATAATTTATTTACAAGATGGCAAAATTCGTATTCGTATAATTCATATTAGAAACAATTTAAATAGATTGGACTCTATAAACCAATTAGTACTGTATACATTTTGGTCCTCTTCTCTATATTGAAGAACTCATAACTTTACCAAAAATTTGAATTTTTCACATTTTTCTTTTGATATATGTCGTCCATAATCAGGTCTTGACGTATGAAATCCGAAGAATATATATCTACTAGCTACATATTAAATATTTTTGCTCTCAATCATCTTTTGAAAAACGCATATCTTTAGATTTTTCTTTTGATATGTATCGTCCATAATCAGGTATTAGCATATGTAATCCGAAAAGTATATATTTATTAAGAGCGTATTAAATATAAGCCCTAAAACATGTGTTGCCTTTGAGCAACATTTGGCCATAAAGTGTTAAGTGTGCTAAATTAATCAGTAAATTGTTCACAATTTTTCGTAAAAATTTTGTTATTCTCAAAAATATTACAAAAATAAAGTAAGAACTTGCCAAAAACACAAAATAACTTCATATCGGACGTACCGAGTATAATATTAAAAAAATTAGTATTGATAATATGACAATTAAAAAGAGTTTGTGATTTTATGTGTTTGAATCGATGTTTTTTAAATTTGACGCAGAAGTATCCAGTGAGACTATAAATATAATGGAATTCTTATATTTTGCAGGAAAAAATTATGAAGTTTCAAAAATATTAATAAGAGTATACTTTAAAACCTCCAATGATATACTGCTATCATGGCGGGGAATAACTTTTAAATATGAGTTTTGTACCTATGAGCTAAAAAAGTAGTATCAAAAAGGGTACTTCTAACATATATACAAGCTTTATATCCAAAAATTTAGCAAACAATTTGTTTTATTTTGTGTGTTACCGATAGACGCAATAACCTCTGAACAGATGTTAATGAGATTTACAAAGTATGTCTGAAAGTAAGAAAGGCTAGAAAAACTTCAAAAGATTGGTCAAAATTTAGCGGGTCAAATGGACCCCGACTTTTGTGTGGAAAATTACAAAATTTGTATTCTATGTCGTATATAATTACTCTAGAAGCACATATACCCGAGAAGTTAACAGTATAGCCAAGAGGAGTTGTTAGCCTTTAAATTGATACCAATTGTATTGTGGTATGTACTCGGATGTGGGAGTTACACTTAAATATTTACAGGTGCTTACGTATTTATTTTTTAGAAACAAATTACCACACTGGTTAACTGAAATATAGCGATGATCGCGTTGAAAAGTTCCATGAGGTTTCTGTTATGATCAAGGACAACGCCTATAACTTTCGGCGATGATCAGATAAGAATTTTGGGATGAAGTGGACCGAAAACTTAATTTTTGTTTTTGTTTTTTGTTGTTTTTGAAAGCCGAACATCACAACACAACCCACGGTGAAGGGAATCTGGACAAGTTATTATAAGGACTAATAATCGGAAAATATTGCAGTGTAAGGAAGAGTTGCTGTTGACATCTGATTGGGCGACAGGGTGTAGACATCATGAAATATTGCCCAGGCTTGGAATAAACATCCGCAGAAAGTTACAGTTCCGTGGTAGTTGTGTAGGGTATCGTATGGTCGGCCCCGTCCGACTATACTGCTCTGTTCAATGTTTTTTTTTAATTTTCAAAATCTGCATATTGAAAATAGAAAACATGAACATATTTTTGACTGAGAATAACATAGTTTATATAAACCTCTAAGATTCCGCGTGGATGCGGAGTTATATCATCAAACATAATCATACCTCAACCAGTTAGAAAAGTTCAAGGTCTGACGGGGCCGTCTATATATGGAGGACCGTTGAAATGGAATCGGACGAAATTAGTTGTGTGATGTACACATATATTTGAACTAAATCGAAACAACACATACCATTTGTGAAAAATTTAATCCCAATCATTTGTATGAAATCGAGCAAAATTTGTATGGGAGCTATATATAAACGGACATATTTGAGCAACCGTGGCATCCACCATTTGGTATACTATAGCACAGTGCGGTTTCCAAAATTTATCTCGACACAAATCAATACACAATTCTAATACGCTATGCAATATTTCACGTAAATTGAACAGACATAGGCACCTCCATTTGCACCATGCATAAAATTGGACACAAATATATGTGGGAATTATATTTGCAACTGAATCGATTTCAACAACAAAATATCATACAAGGTGTACAGGATCTATTGTGTACCATTTACATAAAATGGGACTAATATATATATGAGTCATATTTAAATCTGAACCGATTCCAAACTTAACAAAAAATATTCTAGACTAAGTCCATACCCGCTGCTAAATTTTAGGAGTATAGAACAATCATAATATCCTCGGTGCACCATATAAATCTGCTCTATATAAAAATATACCGAGTTCCTTCTCACATACATATAAATACAAACTACATATAAATTTAACAAAAATGCTGTTGACATTTAGAGTAAATTAAAAATCAATATTGTTAAATGTCAAAAATGTAATGAATTAAATATTTACCAAATTTTGAAAACGATGGATAAACAAATTCTGAGAAATTTGTATAACATAAGGAACATTCTTTTTTTCTTTCCATTCTGTTTTATGCAAAGTACATTTTAAATACTCAATTGACCCAAATATAATTTAGGCTCCATGAATTTCCAGCAAAGTATATGCTAAGAGAATTTATGAAGGATGCTTCTGTTTTTGATTCCTCTTAATGATATCCTATTTGGTTATGTTTTGTATTTTTAGGCTGGTACGAGGACAACTGGTATGAAGTCAATTTAGAAAATGAAGATATTTCATGTACTGTCGAACAGATGCGTATGGCTGCTGAAGGTCACTTAACCACGGAGGCCCTGATGTGGAATCAAAATAATCAAACAACCATATCGGGGATGACAGCTGATGGATTTCGGTGGGTAGTTAGTTTTTTTCGGTTTCCATTCATATTTCTAATTTTTGGTTTGTGTTCTTCCTCCCTCCTGTTACAGTTTACGTTTAAATCAAGCCTTGAAAGAAGAAGGTTTCGATATTAGCAATGATCGTTATCCAGAAGGTTATCAGGAAGCGCCATTGGCATATGATGCCGTATGGAGTGTGGCATTGGCCTTTAATCGTAGCATGGAAAGACTGAGGCATCGCAATAAAACCTTAAAGGAATTCACATACAACGACAAAGACATAGCTGATGAAATTTATGCAGCGATGAATTCAACGCAATTTTTAGGAGTATCGGTGAGTAGAGAGTCTTTTGCTTCAAAAATGTCTAATTTCGGTATACTCTAATGTAACATAAAACCACAAAATGTTAACCGTTTTAGCATTCAGAGCTTCCCGTCCATGTGTTGCAATGTGATAATATTATTTATTGTTGTAGTAGTAGCAATGGCATAACATTATTTAAAACACACTCACGCACACATTTCACGTTTTATTTCGATTTAATTTCAGGGTGTTGTGGCATTCAGCTCTCAGGGAGATCGTATTGCTTTAACGCAAATTGAGCAAATGATTAATGGAAGATATGAAAAATTGGGTTATTATGATACCCAATTGGATAATTTGACATGGTTGAATTCCGAACGATGGATAGGAGGAAAGGTAAGTAATAAATGAATGAGTGGACAATAATAATAACACAATATGCAAATGTTATTTCGTAGTTGTTGCGCTTATCAGAATTTTGTAAATAAATTGAGTTGATTAACTATATTACTGCTAATACTATATGTGTATACAATTTTTATATGAAATTATGGCTCATCGCAATCAGGCAAGGCGAAGCTAAAAGCGTTTTAAACCCCTATTCAATAATTATGGCAAACGATGATGTACAGCTATTTTCAGTTGATTTTAGTAAAGAGACAATAAAAACGGAAATTATACCTTTTTGAATTTATAGATAGAGATTTAGAAATCAGTCCACAATGGCATATATCCACTCCAGAGGGTCACAATATTGGCGAATCGTGGCCAACGCTCGCTCAACGACGAATATTTTACAAAAATTGATGCCATATATAAAGATAAATTCAAGTACGAAAAAAGTTGCCAAGTACGTTGGAAATAATATTTTTTTATTAAACAGAAATCCAGAAACAAGTTTGATGGGAAAATTCGGCGCTTCCATGGACCTTTATAGATAATCATCTGCATAGCTATAAGTCAGCGTTCAAGAAAACTTTATATTAAATTGTAGCCACATGAGCGTGAAAATGCGGCTAGAGCCTTTAAATTTCCAATAATTAGGCAGTACCAAAACAAAATACCGATATTTATAAATTTTGGTACGAAGGTACCAGTGAGAATTCAGAATATTAACTTACATATGACTCCTCTTGGAAAACGTCCCAAAGGCTTCAAAATACTGAATATTGGTTTATACTGTTATATTTACAAATTTCAATACATATAGCAGATAGAGCTTTGAAATTTTGCATATACATTGCTGAAACTCCTCGGTGTTTGGTATTGAAATGGCATATGATATATCTGTGGACTTTTTAAGGTAGGCCCGATTTAACGGTACCTCCCAAAATTCGGTATTTTGAAGTTTGGTCACGTTTTCAACCTAATCAATCATAATTTCATATTTTGGGTTCTCACTTGGTAGAAAATGTTCCTAACAAAAGTGTTCACTGTTAGTATTTTGGTGACCATGGGCACGATTATCAACTAAATTGACTGTATTTTATTTTTATTTTTTATTATTTTTTTTCTGATATTGCGTGTTCTCGTGGGGCATACGATTTTCTCACTAAAAATTAGCCCACATAGACAATGCCAAGCAATGTTCGGTATATTGAAAGTTTCAAGCTCATTTTCTTAAATTACATATTGCGGGATTTGGAGCCAGACACACATACAATGTCGTCCAAATCCTAAGTTGTGAGGATATTAGACTTACTTTTTAGTATACCGATCGTCATATCACGACTAGCTGTGTGTCCGTACGTTCGTCCATTTCTCTGTCCATTATAATTTGAAAACACGATGCAGACCACAGTTATGGACCAATCGTCACGAAATATTACATGTAGAACGTGTTCTGCCCAAAGAAGACCCTTATTATATTTGATAATGATCGGTTAACATTTAGGGGATAAAATGGACCAAAAATTTTATTTTGGTCTGGTTTTCCGGTCGCACAAGAGGTTACAATTATGACACGAAGAGGGATCTGGCCATAGAATAACAATAACAGGTTTCTTGAAAATCGGTCAATATTTTGGGGGTCAAATGGACCCAGACTTTTCTGTGAAAATTACAAAATTTGAATTCTGTGGTCGATCTTTAATGTAATGCCTATTACATTTTTGTATGTACTCGGATGTTGGAGTTATAAGTAAACATTTACAGAGATCTAGCTATTCGGATTACTATTACCACACTAGAGGGATCGATTTGATATCTAAGGTTATAGAAACATTTTCCTACCGAAGTGGCTGTAATTTGGCATTTCATGTTATATTCTATTCGAAATTCCCATATCCCATATAAAAAGAACGCGACTCATTTTTGGTACTCTATTTCCATAATTTGGTTCTTCGTTTTCCCAAATAAACAATCTACTTGCTTCCCGGCCTTTAAAAAATTAACAAAATATAGTAAATCCTGAATTCTGTTTGAAATATTTAATTGTCAGCATAAATCTAATGTCGTTTCGATTGAAAACATTTTCAGAGAAGACGATTAACATAAAAATGAAATTCCACATTGTTGAGGTTTGTAATTGGGTACAACCGTTTGAAATATTTTAGGTAAAATCCCGCCAAGTGAAAAATCGATAATTGGGACAATTGGTTGTTGATTTCAAATATTGAAAACATTTGAAAACATTTTTGCGAGCATATTCATGATTTTTGGTACATAGGTTAAGGAAAATATGCGGACTCGAAACCAGTTCGCGTTCGCAAATTCGGATGCTGCGCACAAAAGTTATAGCGGTTTTAAACCTTGTATTTCAAATATAAATTAAATTAATTCTTGCATTTGAAAAGTGATTTTAAAGTTATAGCGGTTTTAAACCTTGTATTTCAAATATAAATTAAATTCACTTAAATTAATTCCTATTTGTTGTAATTCGCGAATTTCATCACAAATGGATAAACACATTTGTTTTCTTTGCATACTTGGCAAATCACATCGCAATACGGTTTAATAGTCGCGAAAAACAAAAAAAAAAGCATGAACATATTTGAAAATAAAATAAATAATTTTTTTTTAATTAAAACAAAACGTTTTTGAATTTTCGATTTTTTTATACGCCTTTGCCTTAATCTACTAAAATGTGCGACGCTTTATTCTTCAAATTCTTTTAGCCGATTTTTAAATAATTGTAGATTCCTCTGTTAAGAGTTTTGACTTTAACAATTACCAAATATATTGCAGTTACAGTATATTAAAATGATCAACATTAAAAAGATGCAATTCGCGTATTCGTTGAAATCAGTTGATGCGCATGCGGGTTTCGTATAAACCGAATCAATATCTTCCAATAATTATGAATTTTTCGAGGATTCATTTAGCGGCCGAAGTGTGCCGCTCGATGCACTTTACTATGCAGAAACCCTAAAAGTCGCTAAAAATGACGCAACGTGCATAAGATTTGTATGCGCATCCGATTTCAGTAATCTCCAATGAAAATACACACAAGTACACCTATTTGAAAAGATGTGCCGCCACAATCAAATTTGTATAAAATACGCATATTATTCGAGTATCGATGTATTTTTGACCTATTTTCACACAGATTCGCGTATATGACAATATAAACATGAATGTATGTAAAATCAATTCGAAGAAAAACGCGAATTAGTCAAAACAAGTTTATTCAGTTATTCCTAAATTTATCCGCCGTTTTATAAAATTCCTCGGCTCATTATTAAAATCATGCGCGATTCCAGGGCATTTGAATGGACTTTCTTAAATTTAGACTCAAATTTTCGTCTTTTGAATCAGATTGCAACGAAGCTACGGTGAGCACATTCATGAGATACATACTAAACGAAGTAAAATCACTAGTTCTACAATCCTATAATCAGGATTTTTATATATAAGAAAAATTCGAAAAATACCGAAAATCCGGCTTCAAAATGTCAGCATCCGTTTTGGGTGGATGCAGTGATTATATCGAAAAAATCATATATTAGAACCATATTGTCCATAGGGTATTTTGCAAATCACAGATCAAGTTTTGTATGCCACAAATCAGGAAGGAACACAAAAAACTCGTTGGCTTCAACACATTTTCACCCATTTATGTCCCCTCCACCATAGTATGGAGGGTATATTACGGAGGGTATATTATTATAATGAGATAAAAAAATTAAAATATTGGTTTAAAAATTGGCATATACCGGATATTAATTAGGCATAGCCCTCATATAATGATATCCCCAAATATTCTCTATTTCCTACACTATGTAATAAATATTGGTCCCCCTTTAGGCATAGCCTCATATAACTTTGTAATGTAAATTATAGTAGTTTGAGGATTTTATACTCTACCATGCGTTATCAGTATCAGTCCACTTTTTACAGTTTACAGGTTTTAGGAAAAATCCCCATTAAAAATTGCTGAAATTTGTATTTGGTTTAAAGGTTTACATAAATCGGTTTGTAGAATTATCGGTATATGCCCACTTTTTGGTATGTTCCCTATATTGTCAGTATACCTATGGTGGAGGGTATCCAAAGTTAACTTATTATTTATTACTCCTATTCTAAGATATTGACAAGAACACTTCATTTTATAGAAATGAATTTAAATTATATGCAATATATTAATATTTCGCGAGTTATAAGCTTGCAAACCTAAGTTTCAAGGAATTTAAAAGATTTTTGTGATTTCCCATATATAGTTTTTACGTATTTGAAATCAACAATATATCTGAACAATGATTCTTCATAATTACCTAAGTATATATAAATCCAACTTTCCGTTTTATATATTCTTCCATATGAATCTATTTTATCCACATTTTAAGTGGATACAACCATATGAATAATATTGTATTACATTTTTATTGTTTTTTTTTCTCCCTCACAGGTTCCTCAGGATCGTACAATTGTAAGACGCGTTTTACGCACCGTATCGCTGCCATTATTTGTCTGTATGTGTACAATATCGTGTTGTGGTATAGTTGTAGCATTAGCCCTAATTATCTTTAATATATGGAATAAACATAGAAGGTAAGTTGAAATATCTTTACTGTTTCATATATCTTTCATTTTCCGCAGGGTGGGATGGGGGTATAACAAAAAGTTTAAAAATTATTGTTTACATTAATTGCGTTGCATTGATGTCTAAAGTACGAATGGTGGTCTAAAGTACGAAAAGAAAATACTTTACTACAATTGTTTTTATTCTGCTATAGATAAAACTGCTAAAGGCTCGAAAGGAAGTATTTTTTCTTTGCATTGTCTCTTCATGCATCCATAGAATGTGAATAGAAGAATACCATACTGAATTTTTATTGTTTAAGATGTATAAAGAATTTCCCAAGGAAATTACCTTATCTGTGATAATATGTCACAGAGAAATTTCTCTATAGAAAACTTCCACATCAATATTTTCAATGAGGAATCACAATAAATTTTTTCATAGAAAATTCCGCAATCTGTGATGAAGTATCAATGAGAAAAGTGTCTTTAGAAAAATGGGTCATCTGTGATGAAGTATAACAAAGATAATATTCTATAGCAAATCACACCATCTGTGAGAAAATTGTCTATAGATGGTGCAATTTTCAATAGAAAATTATCTCTTTTATGCTTTATCACAGATGGCGGAATTTTTTATAGAAAATTCTTCTCCGATTTGTGAGAGGTATCACAGGGGAAATTTTCTATAGATAATTCACCCATCTGTTATATGGCATCAAAGAGAAAATTTTCTACAGAAAATTCCCCATCTGTGATTCGGTATCACAGAAAAAAATTATCCATAGACAATTCATTCCATCTATGATAAAATATCATATAGAAAAAATTTCTGTAGAAAATTCCAACCATATATATCACAGAGAAAACTTTTCTATAGAAAATTCCACCCATATGTGATGAGTTTTCACAGAGAAAGTTTTTTATAGAATATTTGACGTCTGTGATGAAGTATCACAGAGAAACATTTCGATAGAAAAATCCCCATATAGTTATGTTTTATGCTTGATAATAAAACACATTGTTATGTTCTTGTAATATTTTATTATAAATTCAATAGTTATTTATTATTTCGGCTAAAGACTTAATATTTAACCGATATTTTAAGTAACAACATTTAAATTTGAGATCAACTTACGAACTAACTTTTAAATATGTAATCATCTTCTTACAACTTATAACTACATTTTATCGGTTATGATTTTACTCTCTATTATTCTCTCTGTCTGAGAAGTATTTCGGGAATAAAGTGGGCAGTTTGCACAGAGATAAAAATAAGAGAGTTATAACAATAAGAGAGTGAGTTATGATAATAAAAGATATTTATAATAATAAGAGAGAGATAGATTAATATTTAAAGAAGATAGATAATTAGAGTATGTGAACATGATAACAGTAGGGGACATAGAATGTGACTCCCCCATCCCTTGATATTACATTACTCCTGGAATGTACTTATACTAATATATGGAAAAAAACTGGTTAAATATGAACATTTACATTAGTCACTTGAGTGATATTTATACTATTTTAATCTTTACAATATGTTTTATTTTACATAGTTATTTGTATTCGCAATTTCTTTAAAATGTTATAATAAGTTAGATTAAAACAAAAAATTTATACATTTTAATTTCTTCATGACGGTATTCTTTTCCTTAAATTTTCTGCCATCAAATAAATAATCATCGTTCAATATATTTTTAATCAATTTACAATAAATAGTAAAAATATACATTTCATGAAGGAATTTAACCGTCTTATTTCTCCTATACGTACATATCTTGCAATAGAATATTTTGCTAAAAAATGTAATATTTGTTTCATCACACTTCTGCTGCGCTATAATCTTTGTGTTTAAATTTCCGTTTGTCTACCACATTTCTCTCATTTATTGGTTTCAAAATATCTCTTATAAAATCATTACTGTTTTTGAAAATACAATCACCGAAATTATGGTTTTTATACTTGTCTTCAGTTAAAATTTGTGTTTTGGATTTTAATTTTAAATATTTATTATTGAGATTTTGTTGTGTTATTCTTCGATTAATTTTAATATAAGATTTTTCTTTAACATCTGATACATTTATTTCTTTACACCTTTCCGAGTCTTTGTCATATTTTACAATCGTACATCATTGTGACATAGGGAAGAGATTTGCCATATATTGATTTATATGATAATTCAGAGGTTTTAATATCTTTTGTACATATCTTATTTGTATTTTCCAAATTGAAGCTATTTATTTTATTCATTTTGGAATCAAATGTGAAATTATTACTTATTTGCTTATGTTCCAAAATGTTATTACTATTTACATTCTCCTCCGCAGTTTGCACAGAGATAAAAATAAGAGAGTTATAATAATAAGAGAGTGAGTTATGATAATAAAAGATATTTATAATAATAAGAGAGAGATAGATTAATATTTAAAGAAGATAGATAATTAGAGTATGTGAACATGATAACAGTAGGGGACATAGAATGTGACTATATGCGATGGAATATCACAGGGAAAGTTTTCATTGGAATTTCCTATATAAAGTCGCTGATCTGTCTTTTGTCGTACCCTTAGAAAAAAATATAACAAATTCAATTTAAAAATGCAACGGGTGCAACATACATCACATCCCATTTCATTCATAACACGGTCGTTCGTGTAACATACATCAAGGATAATTTTAATGGAATGCACATTGCTTTTAACAGCATCTGTGATGTTGGCACACACACACACACACAAACATATTTGTCCATTTTGTTTCTGTTTTGTATGAATTGTTAGTGGATGATGACGGTGTACGCATACATTTAGCACAATTTGCCGCAGAATCCTACGCGTTCTCATTGGACGCCAGTTGCTCTTTGTTTTTGAGCTGCTATAATCTAAAATGATAGATGGGAGGGTGGATTATCTACTGGATGGTTGGCTTCGAATGCTTAGGGGTTTGTGTAATCTTTTTTTCCGTTGTATGCGAATGTGAATTCTTTTGGTAAAAATGTGTGCCAATGACTAGGTTATCCTTAATTTATGGTGATGGAGGTACATCGCCAATGCACTCCAATAATCATACATAACATTGTCATAGTGCAGAGCGACGAAAAAGAAAACAGAAAAAGCATCTGACTTACATACGGGAACTCTAGGTATAAGTGGTTTTTGTTTATGGAGCAAAACCCAGCAACAGTAGCAAAATGTGGAACATTTTTGTGAAACTATGAATGCATCACATTGTTGTAAATGATGGCACGAAAGCGGGCAATGATGCAGATATTGTTGTTTATTTAAATTTTGCCATGCATTCAACCCAGAAACTGGTATGCAGGCAGAGCACCATGAACAGTGGTGTGGTTTCTTTTCTATATAATGACGAATTTGTCGGAAAATTAATTCTGGCAATAATTATGTATATCAGGTTGTGAGTAATTTGAAATATTGGCAGATCATCATGAATCTTTGATAATGAGAGAGAGGGAAAATTTGTATAGAAAATTCCCCATTTAATACAATGGATCAAGGTTTTGAATTTTAAAAAATCCCATCTGTTGGGGGATGCAAGAAATTGTAGGTTCTTCTGTTGTAATCATGTTAGCATTAAATCAGAAGGTATCAATTCCTGTCTAATATATACAACATATTCATAAATTTTTTTGTGCAATTTAGTATGTACCCCAAACCGAGTCATATGTTACCACAGGACTCATATATGTACTAAAGTGTTCGGTACAAAGGTTATTACTTTGCATAAAAACCAACAAAGCAATAACATACATTTCCTGTTTACATTCATCATACTGTTATATAGCAACGTAATTAAGCAATGTCCCTAAGGAGTTAATAATTACCGTTTTCCAAGGATAACGTTATCAATTCGAAATTAAAAACAATAATATTACCAAAATTACTCGGACTTAATGATTCTACCGATTCAACACAAAAGATTTGCTTTGCTTTATTTCATATCACTCATGAGATTTTCTTTTTAATTTCATTAATTCCTTTGTGAGCATTCATTTTCGTTGCCCCGAAAGGTAGTAAAGACAAAAATAAAAATATTCACCTCAGTGGTTTCTATGATTAAAAGCAACAGAATAAAATAGAGTCATTTGGATGCTCAAGACAATAATCCCCAAAAAAATTAATTTATGTGGAATACCGCTCCTTGCCGAATATTTCCCAGTTGATTTAAAAAGGAGAAGGAATTAAAATCAAAAGAAAGGAATAAGGATGTGAGGTTCGAATGGGACGGACTTTTTGTAACCTTATAAAAAATTCCGTCAAAAACGTAATGGCAATCATTTGCTACCGACGTGAATACACTGTGCAACAAGATTTCAGGGGAAAGAAAATTGTTTTGTGGGTCAATTTTTTTTACAGTCAAATGGAATGAAAATATTTTTCTAAATCATCTTGTCCATCTTTTTTCGTAATTATTTTCTTGAGCCGTACACTAAATACCACACGACGAAATATTTTTTTAAAACCGTCGCTCATAAATATTTTGCGAAACTTTGTGCCAATCGGAATCATTTTGGGTCTTTGGTGCACCACATACATTAAATCGGACGAAAATATGTATAGGAGCTATATCTTATTCTGAACCGGTCAAATGTGGGAGTTTGGTGCACAATTTACATAAAATCGCAAGAACATTTATATGGAAGCTATGTCTAAATCTGTAGCGATTTCCCATGAACTTTTCCAAACTTCATCTGTATATCCTAGATGAGTAGTTGACTTTTTAATTTATATAAATTAATATCTTATTCTTATCAAGATGTCTGCCAAATATTGAGAGGTGTTGCAAACGGAAATACAAATTTTATACTCGTATGAAGGTTGAATACGAACGGTCTAGCCAATATTCTAGGTCTTTTAAATTGATATAAATTAATATTTTATTTTATTCTCTACAAAGGGCGTAAAGTCAAAAAAAAAATAAAAATAAATCGACGCGCCAACGCATTTCCTTTAGGGTTAAGACTTTAAAATGTCATTTCTCTGAATATTTGAATGAATTTTTATGAGATTCAGTGAAAAGGCCCCATGCATCAAACATTTGAAAATTGAATATCAGTGGGAAGTTGTTTGACCACAAGCTCACAACACTGGTTTCTTCTGACATGTCGATTTAATTTATATTTTCAGTGAAATATTGGGGAAGCGTTTGGGTAGTCATTCATAACCACATAAATCGAAATATTCATTGCGGAACAATTGATTACGGAGCCAATGATCTGCTAATGAGTAAAAAATAGTCAAACTGATTTTACGAAACCTGTTCTAGGGTTCAGGCATAATAATGAATGAAATAAGAGCTGGAATGACACGAGATCTCCAGCGTGCATTGTAGACGTTTATGATATGTTAAAACTCTAAAAATTGGTTCCCACTCTTCACATTTAAGTGGCGGAAGACACGAGTGAGGTGGAAAAGAAACTCGCCAACCGTTTATTTCCCTTATCAATTAAGTAGATTAGGTAGATACGCTTCGATGTTATGTATTGATTCATGAATACCTGAAATATAATATACATAATACATTATTTATTAATTTTAATTTTATAATAATCATATTTGTATATTTCTTTTATTTTCAGAGTAATACAATCATCACATCCTGTATGTAATACAATTATGTTAATTGGCGTTATTATCTGTTTAACATCCGTCATTTTATTGGGTATCGATGGACGGTTTGTTAGTCCAGATGAATATCCTAAAGTAAGTGTAAATTATATTAGAGCTTTATAATATGTATATTATAAATACGATTTAAATTTATTAATAATTATTTTCTATTTTCATTAAATAAATAACAGGTGTGTCAAGCTAGAGCTTGGCTATTATCCACCGGTTTTACATTAGCTTATGGTGCTATGTTTAGTAAAGTCTGGAGAGTACATCGATTTACTACGAAAGCGAAAAGAGATCCAAAAGTAAGTAGAAGTTACCATATTCATTAGAATTATGAATTATGAAGTATTTAATATTAATTATCAATAATTAATATTAATAATGTTATACATTATATTTATTAATAATGAAAGAGTAGTAACTAATAAGTGAGTGAGACAAATTTAGCTGAAAAGTTAGAGTGTACAATATTTTTTAAAATGACTTGCTTTTGATTCATTGATTTCATTTTATTTCATTTTTTAGCGCTAACATTTTCCCTTATTATGAGCAACATATCAATAGCCAAACTCAACTTATCGTACACAAACACCCTATCTTGTCCACAAAACACCAAATTTCAATTAATAATATTCATAGCCATAACCAACAATCAATTATTTGACCAACAAATTAGACCGCACATAGCTATCACCACAGTTTCATAAACTGTGACGTTCGTACCCCCTTTTCCCCCTCATCAAGTGTCCATAAATTAAGTACATTGCCAGTAAGGATCATCGTTCAAAGTTTTAGGGTTCAGTGGTGGTAGTGTATGTTGAGATAATACGAAACCATAATTACAAAAATATAATTGCGATAATATCGAACACTTGTATTGGTGATGTCCAAATGAATGATCTACCTTTTTCTGAGTGACATTTTATAAATTAATAATGTTTGGGAAAAATTAAAATCGTATTAAGGTCAAATGTCATAGCATTCATATAGGGAAGGGTTGAGGGTTGCTCATATATAGAAAAACATTAAATTATGTATGGCTTGTGATGGACAAATATTTGTGAACATGCCAAAACATAATATTATTGACAAAATATTGACAGGGTTGCCCGTTTGCAGTGGCACGTGTTAAATACACGTGACCATATGTTAAAAGAAGTGAAAAAGGGGTAAAGTTCGGCTGACTTTTGATACCCTCTACCACTAACAATTACGTGTAATGAAGGTTCCAACACCACGTGGAACTTTGCTGCAGCGAATAATGTTGGAAAGTGTGAATAAAACTTCCTGGGTAATCAATATTGGGTAAATTTTTATATAGGGCATATTAAATATAAGTAAACCTGTGGAAACAAGTTTATGTTACTGACGATCAGAAATACTACATCGCAGTCAATTTTGACGGAAAATTTTTTAAAATGTCCGACATTTATTTTCAAAGAACTTTCTCACGTCACGAGGAACTATTTTATACCTTCAAGACTTCTGATGTAATGCATAATGGGCGAAATCCCAATATAGGGAATATATCAAATAGTTGACCTATGCAGACGATTTTTTAAATGAAGTTTGTAAACCACATGTACACGAAATATAAATTGGAGGAATTTTTAATGGGGATTTTTCCTAAAATCTCAAAACCCCTAAATGTAGACTGATGCATTGTAGGGTGAAAATGGAAAATAGCAATGTTATGAGGATATACCTAAAGGGGGCCAATATTGATTATCTCTACAAGAAAGGCTGGCAATCGTAAAGTATCATTACATGGGGGCTATGCCTAATGGAACTACCCTCAAATGTGGAACATTGAGAATTGTTTGTGGGAGTATTTGGCACTCAAGTAGAACCCAATATATCAAAATACATTCATTTGGATTGAACACTATTTTTACCCTGATATTTACCCTTATACGGGGTGGAAGTACCGTTATAAGTGGACCGGCATTGAGAATATTTAGAAAGAAAATTTGGTACCAAATGGGAATCGGAAATACCAAATTAAAATCATTTATATAACTTCTAATAGGGAAGTTTGGTACCATTGAGAACACAAAATTCTAAATTCCATCTAATTCAATTAAAAAACGTGTCCAAGATCCTTAAAATACAGCAAATTTTGCTGTATACTAGCAACACCAACAAAGTCGTTGTGTGCATTTTTCGCGATGTGACAACATACAACAGTGGGAAAGGTGTGGTATTGTTTGTAAATGCCTTGTTAACCTCGAAGTGAGGCTCCAGCGAAATTCTCATGCAGTTTATGTCGTTGGTCAGCTAAGTACTTCGCTTTGTTACAAGAGACATTTGGGTATGAAAGGTTTTTTGTATAGAAGCAATAGTTTCTGGGGAGAATATCCCAACAAAAAACTAAGGGAACTTATGAGGATCAGTGGCGTGATCCGAAACTATAGTCTTCCCTACCTTACCCCTCGGCAAATAATGCCATACATTTCCCACTAATAAATAGTTGTTTTTCATAAAAACAACGAACTGGGATCCAGCCTGACTATTTTGCAGAAACAAAATACAAATGGTATCCCAAATAAACCGCCAACACTACTGAAATTTTACATATATTAATTTTATAATTAGAAATTAAAAAATTAAAACCAGTAAGGAAAGTAGTAAAGTCGGACTGGGCCGACTATATGATACCCTTCACCACTTTGGGTATATTCAGCATATGTATCCTAAAGTCGAAATTATATATGGAAGCTATGCTATATATATATCTGAACCGATTTCAAGGAAACTTATCAGAGATTAATTTATATTAACTTCAGTACGTTGTGTTAATCGACCTAGCTATGGATCGTTAGTGCACCAGTTACTTAAAATCGGACGGAAATATATATAGAGGTGTATGCAAATCTGAACCGATTTTCACGAAACTTTGCACACATCATTCTAGATTTAAATCAGTGCTCTATCCCAAAATCGAAATATATATGGGGACTTTAGTGCACTATTTAGATAAAATCGGACGAAAATATATATGGGAGCTATATCTTAATCTGAACTATTTCCACGAAACTTAGCACACGTCTTTCTAGACTTAATTCAGTACGCTATGCCAAAATTCGTGCAAATCGAAAGATTTTGAGGGATTTTGGTGCACCATTTACTATATCTGAAACTATATATGGAGCTATATCTAAATCTGAACTGATTTTCACGAAACTTAGCACACATCATTCTAGTATTAATTTAGTACGCTATGCCAAAATTCGTGCACATCGAAGAATTTTGAGGGACTTTGGTGCATCATTTACCTAAAATCGGGTGAAACTATATATGGAGCTATATCTAAATCTGAACCGATTTTTACGAAACTTAGCACACATCATGGTATACTTAATTCAGTACGCTTTGCCAAAATTCGGGCAAATCGAAAGATTTTCAGGGACTTTGGTGCACCATTTTACAAAAATCGGTCGAAACTATATATGGGAGCTATATCTAAATCTGAACTGATTTTCACGAAACTTGGCACACATCTTTCGAGGCTCAATTCAGTACGCTATGCCAAATTTCGTGCAATTGGAAAGATTTTCAGGGTCTAAACTCCGTAAATCGGACAAGAATATATATGGGAGCTATATCTAAATCTGAACCGATTTTTCCCAATTTCAATAGGGTTCCTTGGGCCAAATAAATGAGCTTTACCAAATTTCAGCCAAATCGGATTTTAAATGCGACCTGTACTTTGTTTACAATTTAACATCAACAGACGGACGGACATGCATAAATCGTCTCAGAAAGTGATTCTATGCATATTCTCAAAAGGAACCATGGGTCTACCTCGATTCCTTTTGCCTCTTACAAAAATATGAACAAAGACATAATACCCTGTACCACAGTGTGGTGTACACCCCCATATATATATATATATATATATTTAATTTTAATAATATCGTAAACGGATCAGTATATTTGTGTGGGGCTATATATAAACCCCAATTAATATTATATATTCGTTATAATTATAAATATTATATTTTTTATATCGTAATTTGTGTATTAGATTATTTTATATCTATTATGGATTCCTTTCAGAAGAAAGTGGAACCTTGGAAACTATACACCATGGTATCGGGTCTATTATCCGTCGATTTAGTATTACTGATAGCATGGCAAATATTCGATCCACTGCAAAGGATATTGGAAACATTTCCGCTCGAAGATCCAACATCGACAAGTGATGATATTAAAATACGTCCAGAATTGGAGCACTGTGAAAGTGAAAAGAATTCCATGTGGTTGGGTAAGATTATAAAAAACCAAAAATAAAAATTTAAAATTAATTAAATGATTTTTTTCTCTCGCTTTAGGCCTTGTCTATGGCTACAAAGGTTTAATTTTGGTATTTGGCCTTTTTCTGGCCTACGAGACACGTTCAATAAAAGTGAAACAGATTAATGACTCGCGCTATGTCGGCATGAGCATATATAATGTGGTGGTATTGTGTTTAATCACGGCACCGGTGGGGATGGTGATTGCATCACAACAGGATGCATCATTTGCCTTTGTGGCATTAGCTGTGATATTTTGCTGTTTTTTGAGCATGTTATTGATATTTGTGCCAAAGGTAAGTGGATCTAAAATAAAATGTAATATTTTTTAATATATGGATATGGAAAGATGTGTGGGCTATTAAGGCGAAGAACATGTGGGTTTGTGTTAATGGGCTTATAAAACCAATTTTTTATATTACATTCATCATTTTCTTAATAAGACAAAGAAAAAAAATGAATTTTGTATAAATATCAGGGGTTCCTTTTTAATTTTGCCACACAGTTTAGCTTAAATATTCTAAGAGCGTATACGTTACGACAATAGCCATACGCCCACAGTTCTCAAAATAAATTTATTTTATTCCTAACAAATAAAATTTGAGTAAATATCCGCATTTGTTTTCTGTTTTACCACATAGTTTCGTTTAAATGTCCTATGAGGATATACTTTACGTCAGTAGTCATATACCCACTGTTCCCATTATATAATTATTTACTATCAATTATCTAATTTCAAATATGTTTTATCGTCATTTCTTTTGTAGGTTATTGAAGTCATACGGCATCCAAAAGATAAAGCCGAATCGAAATATAATCCCGATTCGGGCATCTCGAAGGAGGACGAAGAACGTTACCAGAAATTGGTAACGGAAAATGAAGAATTACAACGACTGATATCACAGGTAAAATAAAAAAACTAAATTATTAATTATATATTTTAATAATGATTTCAATAATCATTATTAACCCTAAAAATAATATTGACCATAATTTGTTCTTTCTTTCTCCCCATTTAGAAAGAAGAAAAAATTCGCTTACTACGACAACGTTTAGTGGAGCGTGAAGCTCAAATGAAAACCGCCGATACAAATGGTTGCGGTGGTCCGCTAACATCAGGTGGCATCAACAATGGTACACATCCACCCGCCGTAACAACCACAGGTACCTCATTAGGGGTATACACCTCGGCAACGTCCTCACATTTACCACCCGCCGCATCACTAGCAATTACACAAGGTAAGTTAAATGAAGTCGGGGCAGACATTTTTAAGAACAGGAAATAATTATTGCTAAGAAAGAAGGGAATGGAAAGAAGAAACAATTTAAGAGGACATTGGGCAAGAGGGAGATTGTATAATCAATTATATACTCTCAGGGATTAAAAGAGTAAAACAATGTCTTTAAAAATTTCTCTCTGTGATGGCCACAGTTCAAATTTTTCTTCGGAATTGTCTATAGAAAATTTTCATACTGTGACTATCTCAGTGGAGAATTTCCTATAGAAAATTTTCATACTGTGACCATCACAGTGGAGAATTTTCTATAGAAAATGTTCACACTGTGACTATTACATCGGAAATTTTTCTATAGAAACTTTTCACACTGTGACTATTACAGGGCAAAATTTTCTATAGAAAATTTCACTCTGTGGCTGTCACAGTGGTGACTTTTCAATAGAAAATTATCTACTGTTTTAGACACAGTTATCACAGACTATAATTCCATTTCCCCATTCGCTCCAA